TATAAACTATACTGTGCTACACTCTAACAGTCATGATTTCTGACATGGGTTCTCACACAGAATTACATACAGCGGGTGAGAAAGTATAAAATAAACAATTCAAATACTGAGCTATAGTGTATGCTCCAAATGTATACAGTCTTTTTTGTTAATCTTTCTCACCCCACTGTATAATCTCATCTCATCTAATCTATTAGGATCTCTGTTCCTTGTCACCTGTGTGCACTTTCTGAAGTGTTTTGAGTGAGTATTTCTAGTAGAACGGCAGAGCAGTTGTAAAGGTGTCAAGAGAATTTCTATCTCTAATTCAACCTAAGCTTGAATCAAACATTGGCAGTAGAATGGCCTTACTGAAGAGCTCAGTGTCTTTCAAAGTGGCACCGTCATAGAATGCCACCTTTCCAACAAGTCAGTTCGTCAAATGTCTGCCCTGCTAGAGCTGCCCTGGTCAACTGTAAGTGTTGTTATTGTGAAGTGAAAACGTCTAGGAGCAACAACGGCTCAGCTGCGAAGTGGTAGGCCACACAAGCTCACAGAACGTGACCGCCGAGTCCTGAAGAACTGAACAACGACATGGATAACATACAGCTGGCGGGATATACGATACATCGGCAGGATAGAATGGCTGCCTCCGGTAAGACAAGGAGTGGCGGTCTGTGTATATTTGTAAACAACAGCTGGTGCATACAATCTAATACTAAGGAAGTCTCGAGGTTTTGCTCGACTGAGGTAGAGTATCTCATGATAAGCTGTAGACCACACTATTTACCAAGAGAGTTTTCATCTATATTTTTCGTAGCTGTCTATTTACCACCACAAACCAATGCTGGCACTAAGATTGCACTCAATGAGCTGTATAAGGCCATTATTAAACAGGAAAATGCTCATCCAGATGCAGCGCTCCTAGTGGCCGGGGACTTTAATGCAGGGAAACTTTAATCCGTTCTACCTAATTTCTACCAGCATGTTAAATGTGCAACCAGAGGAAAAACAACTCTAGACCACCTTTACTCCACACACAGAGACGCATACAAAGCTCTCCCTCGCCCTCCATTTGGCAAATCTGACCATAACTCTATCCTCCTGATTCCTGCTTATAAGCAAAAACTAAAGCAGGAAGCACCAGTGACTTGGTTAATAATGAAGTGGTCAGATGATGCAGATGCTAAGCTACAGGACTGTTTTGCTAGCACAGACTGGAATATGTTCTGGGATTCTTCCAAATGGCATTGAGGAGTACACCACATCAGTCACTGGCTTCATCAATAAGTGCATCGATGACGTCGTCCCCACAGTGACCGTACGTACATACCCCAACCAGAAGCCATGGATTACAGGATTGGATTTTTTTTAATAGTTGGTATTTTACCCCCTTTTTCTCCCCAATTTCGTGGTATCCAATTGGTAGTTACAGTCTTGTCCCATCGCTGCAACTCCCGTACGGACAAGGGAAAAGTACGTCGTACGTCCTCCGAAACACAACCCAACCTAGCCGCACTGCTTCTTGACACAGTGCCCGCTTAACCCGGAAGCCAGCCGCACCAATGTGCCGGAGGAAACGCCGTACACATGGCGACCGAGTGAGCGTGCACTGCGCCCGGCCCGCCACAGGAGTCGCTAGTGCGCGATGGAACAAGAACATCCCTGCCGGCCAAACCCTCCCTTACCCTGGACGGTGCCGGGCCAATTGTTCGCTGCCCCATGGGTCTCCCAGTCGCGGCCTGCTGCGACAGAGCCTGGAATCGAACCAGGATCTCTAGTGGCACAGCTAGCACTGCGACACATCTGCCACTCTGATCCTCAACACGGGGGCTCCTCAGGGGTGCGTGCTCAGTCCCCTCCTGTACTCCCTGTTCACCCATGACTGCATGGCCAGGCGTGACTCCAACACCATCATTAAGTTTGCCGACGACACAACAGTGGTAGGCCTGATCACTGACAACGATGAGACAGCCTATAGGGAGGAGGTCAGAGACCTGGCCGTGTGGTGCCAGTATAACAACCTCTCCCTCAACGTGATCAAGACAAAGAAGATGATTTTGGACTGCAGGAAAAAAAAAGAGGACTGACTGCATCACCGCCTGGTATGGCAACTGCTCGGCCTCAGACCGCAAGGCACTACAGAGGGTAGTGCGTACGGCCCAGTACATCGCTGGGGCCAAGCTTCCTGCCATCCAGGACCTCTATACCAGGCGGTGTCAGAGGAAAGCCCTAAAAATTGTTAAAGACTCCAGCCACCCTAGTCATAGACTGTTCTCTCTGCTACCATGGTTCTCTCTGCTACCGCAAGCGGTACCGGAGCGCCAAGTCTAGGTCCAAAAGGCTTCTTAACAGCTTCTACCCCCAAGCCACAAGACTCCTGAACATCTAATCATGGCTACCTGGACTATTTGTATTGCCTAAACAGAGTATGCCCTTGTAAGGGAGAGGGTTAATACTCGGTCACAGGAACAGACAACAAGTGCTTGACTTACGGCATTGGTTCCGGGCCAGATTGAGAAATGTTTGTTTTTTTTGTATTGCGAAATGAAGGTGAACTTTTCTCTGTGTGAAGGAGGTGAACTTCATGACCAGAGATTCTCTGCACTGTGTTTATAAATGCGGGAAGTACAAGAGAGCTGGAAAGTGTGGAGAGTGGACCAGTAGTTTGGAATGGCACCAGGCGAGCTACCAGGGCTGTGTATTTACATCCAACGGCCACACGGCGGCAGTATCACTACAATTAGTAACACTACAATTAGTCCTAGCTGTATGAAATTAGAAATATGTCTTGATAAATAACATCAATCAACCAATATATATATATATTGACTGTTCTCATGATTATGTGTTTGTGTCTTATGTTTTGATTTATGAAGGTTAATAAATACACAGACGACCTTGTTCTTTAGTGGGATGATTTTTATTGATTTGTGATTATTAAAGTTTAAAACAAAGCAGCTGCAGCGATCATTTCAACAGACGGTAAAGATTCTATTTTGGAAAGACTGCACAGCAGAACACCCAGAGGAACAAAATGAGAGTAGAGTTCTAGAGAACACCAGTTAGAGTTCTAAATTATAGGAGAATCCTAGCCTCCAGCCAGTAGTGTGCAGGATCCACACATGACATCTGCCATGGATTGAATAGCCCTGGTGTCTGACTTTAACAAGACATGTACCCCTGATGCATCCATAGTGTTACTATCTTTCTTTTATCTGGTGAAAATGTGTTTCTGAGCCCTACTCAAACTGAGACCAGGATTCAATCCCAGCTCTTTGTCAGCTATGCGCCATTTAAAGGTAATTTCCGGTTGAGCCAACATATGCAACATTTATCATGAATGCAGTCTTATTGTCATATTATATTCAGAAACCTATTGAATCCCAGCCTGAATATTCATTAGCCTATAGCAGGGTAAGGTCTGAATATTCAGAGAGAGGATAGAAAGAGAAAGAGAAGAGAGAGAGAGAGAGAGAGAGAGAGAGAGAGAGAGAGAGAGAGAGATAGATAGAGAAGAGAGCTAGATGAGAGAGTTCGCTCCTCTCGAGACTCCCGACTGCTCTCTCGCTCTGATCTCCTCTATCGAGAGATCTCTAGGAAGAGCGATCTCGGCTCGCAGAGCGCGCTCTCTCGCTCTCATATAGATAGATCGATAGATAGATAGATCCTCGATCTCTCGCTAGCCTCTCTCAGATAGATCTGCTCTCTCTAGATAGATCGTCTCTATAATATTTTTTTTGTGGTGCCTTCACAAAATAGATGGTATCATGAGGAAGGAAAAGTATGTGGATATATTGAAGCAACATCTCAAGACATCAGCCAGGAAGTTAAAGCTTCGTCGCAAATGGGTCTTCCAAATGGACAATGACCCCAAGCATACTTCCAAAGTTGTGGCAAAATGGCTTAAGGACAACAAAGTCAAGGAATTAGAGTGGCCATCACAAAGCCCTGACCTCAAGCCTATAGAAAATGTGTGGGCAGAACTGAAAAAGCGTGTGCGAGCAAGGAGGCCTACAAACCTGACTCAGTTACAGAACATAACCCTGGTTGTCCATCTCCAACAGGATCTATAGAGAATAACAGAACAGAACATAACCCTGGTTGTCCATCTCCAACAGGATCTATAGAGAATAACATAACAGAACAGAACATAACCCTGGTTGTCCTTCTCCAACAGGATCTATAGAGAATAACAGAACAGAACATAACCCTGGTTGACCATCTCCAACAGGATCTATAGAGAATAACAGAACAGAACATAACCCTGGTTGTCCATCTCCAACAGGATCTATAGAGAATAACAGAACAGAACATAACCCTGGTTGTCCATCTCCAATGGGATCTATAGAGAATAACATGACGTGACAGAACATAGCATATATCTATTTATTTCAGGGACTGCAGATGTAAATGAGCTGTTAGCTAAATCTGGTGCAACGCATCACTTCTCAGACTTTTGCTTCACCTTGTCCCTGTCCAAAGAAACGTAATAAATGATATAACCCTGGATGCCAATCTCCAACTATGAGACGCTTTGTGAATACGGGCCCTGCATTCAACAACTTGCATTATGGGATAATGTCCATTGAAAGTGTGTTTTAGTCCAGGACAAGGTTTAATACTGTGGTCCTTTGTAGCTCAGTTGGTAGAGCATGGGCCTTGTAACGCCAGGTTAACGGGGACCACCCATACCTAAAATGTATGCATGACTATATGTCACTTTGGATAAAAGCATCCTGCTAAAGGGATATATATATTATTGTTATTTATATTATCTTATAATATGTGTCCTGATCTCCAACGTCACTGGGTTGGGCAATCCTTTTATTG